TGGCATGTCAAAAACACTCACTGTAAATCTGTGTTACTATAACTCCAGCAGTCTCTTGCAGTGCTTGAAGGAAAAAGTACAATATTTCAGGATCTAACAAATGTATGGATATTGAACAGACAAACTGTAGCACTCTCGTACTGTGTTGTTTCTGTAGAGAATAATCTGTGAAGACCTGGTTGAGTGTTATGATACATAACATGACTACTCTGAATACTCAACTACTCTTCTGTGGTAGTAAACGTGTACAGTATATGAGTGTTGTTGACATTTTAAGTAGCTGTGCACTAGCACTGTCAAGATTCTCTGCTTTTAGACCATGACAAGCAATAACACAAGCCTCAGGAGATGCACAGAGAGCAATTACACAAAGATATTGATAGTACTTACACATCATAAATGCTCCTAAGCATTACATTTCTGGTCCTCAGAGTTCTGAAAGGCACACTCAAACCTGTTTTTTATAGTGCTTTTCAAACTCGCTAGCTTAAAAAGATTCAGATTCAAACAAATGCAGGGATCAAAGAGAGTGGGTAATGTTTGAAATCACCATATCACTCTTGTACACTTGTATTGCATTTCAATGAGATCGATTGAGAATAAGGATTTTCATTTGGGACACCTTTCAATATATTTTATTACCAAACTGTGAGCAACATGAGAAACTTTGCTCCGGTGTAGATTTTGTTTCAATATTTCTTTGGAATGGGTACTGTAAATTATTAGGCTTATATATACAGTATCTGTTTAAAGTAAGGATCCAGTAAGACACTGTAAAGTTCAAATCTACACCCTCTCAAGGGGAAACTCATCTGATGCAATTCCACAGAACATTACATACATGAGAATGTAACAGGAGCTGGTCTAGGCTCCTGTGAAGTGTAGTTCAGGATCCTACACAAATTATATAATCCAGAAGTAAGTGGAGAAGGACATCAGGGAAAGCTACAGCAGGATTTGAACGGGTTGATGGTGATGGCGGTGATTCGGTACTCGAGGGGGGGGCATGGCAAAGGCAAACAATCCAGGCAGTACAAAGGGGGAAACCGGGGCACTGTCCAGAGTCCAGGAACCGAGGGATCCATCCGAGGCAGACAGGGTTAAAATCCAGAACGGGATCCGGAACTGGAACAAGAAGTTAAAACAGAGTAACGAGGCGAGGCGAGGCGCTCCGAGCCCCGGACTCAGACAATCAGGCCTGCCCTTGGACTACCCGTGAGCCCGGGGAATAGGCAAGCCTTGTGGCGTCCATCTTCCAATGCTGAGAGAGGCATAGCGGGAGCGCCCGCGTTAAAAAATGATGCACAAACAGGGGGCATAGGAAGCACAAATAATTTCTGTGAACTGTAATGTTATGCCTGCAATATGTTGCAAATTTCATGGTTTACATGTACTGTTCAGCACTGTGAAACATCTGATATCTGCATAAGCACTGAACATGGGTATATCTAAGAAAACTGCACAAGGCAGTCCTTGATTTAGCCAAAGAACATGTTTATTTTGTCTGTGTATTTATGGACCCGATAAAGTTCTAGGTTATAGAGGAGTCTGCATTATTATTATTTTATAGAATCTTTAGTCTGTAGAGTCAGGGTGTCTATAGACATATTCTATGACACGTGAACTACATTTTTTTCAGTAGGAGTGTTCTCTTATGAAACAATCTGTTACTTTTTCACTGTAAGTCTGTGTTCTTCCAGACTTTTACTGCTTATGACTGTGTAATTTCTTATAAATGTGAAATGAACTAAAAGCAACTACAGGAACACTTTGAAATAATCCCCTTTCTACTTAAACAAAATTTCTGTACAAACCAAGAGTGGAATTGAGCCATGACAGCTCAAAAGGTGACACCTTCAAAAAGTTACCAAGTAGAATTACCAAGTAGCCTCGGTATAACATTAAACCTGAATAGTCTGAATAGTCTTCTTCAAACTGGTTCTGAGTTTATGTGTGGCAAACACTGACCACAGAGGAAATTGAAGTCAGGACATATCTAATTTTGGAATAAAAGTAAGCTCAAATAATATATTGCTAGAGAAATGTTCAAGCACTTGCGTAAGAGTCTAAGGAAGGCTGTATTACTTAATTCTAAATTTGATTTAGAATGACAGGGAACATTTGGTTTACTGAATATTGCTTCCCTGCAATATTGGAGGCAAGCTTCAAAGACAGGTGTTCATTGTGGCTTCAGTCCCATGATCCATTTGCTTGCATATCCATTTACCATTCATATGAACACTCTATGGAATGAGCTGATTGCAGATCGTCTCAAATATCTGCACTCAAGAAACCCTACATTTCTAAACATCAGGTTAACATTAAAAAATGAAAACAACTGCACACATGTGTTTAAAATCAAACCTAACAAAAATGTAAGAGTTATATATGTAAGCTTATGTTTAGCACATTATCACATGCTTGTTTGCACAAAGCACATTTTAAGAAAATCCCTATTACTTTAATACTCATCCATCCATGATTACAAAGCTGCTTATTCCTGCTAAAGATCTCAGCAATTCGTTTTTTTTCATAACAATTAAGAAACAATCCTCAAGACTCTACATTTGGTTTTCTAAAATAGACATAGTGAAAGTAAGCATCATTCTACAAGCTTATAAATCATATCACAATCCACGCCCTTTTATTTGTACATAGTATAACCTCAATCCATGAAATCAGGCGTGCAAACAATGTAATGTAATGCAGTCTGATTTAAAATCCAAGTAACCTACTTCTGCACTAACAGTTTCATTTTTTAGCTATTGGCATTTTGAACTGTATCTCTATTACCACTTGACTAAACTGAAACAGAGACAGAAGCCATTTTGAAAGTACAGTACATACTGTCCACATCATAAAGGAAACACTTCATGCACAACCAAGACAGAATGTTCAAAACAAACATTCTGAGGCCTGGATTAAATCAAACTCTGAACCCATTCTCCACCTGCAAACTTCAACACTACAAGAGGATGATGGCTTCCCATTTGAAAAACACAAGAAGACTGGTAATTACGAATATCATCACATAGTAAGCTTATTTATTATAGGTGGGAGTATTAAAATTAAACACTTTGAGTGCTATTCAAATCTTTAAATCTAATGATAAAATACATAACATAATTAATTTAAATACATAAACATCCATCCACTTTCTAACTACTTTATCAAACAGGGTCTTGGGGTGGACTAAAGCCTAACCCAGCAAGTAATAGGCACAAAGCCAGGATGGGACACCAGTACATTACAGGCTACACACAGACACAAACTCACATCAGAAGTCAGTTTTTTTGTTTAATCTTTAATAAATCTAAAGATAAAATACACAAACATTTTTTTAAGTTTTTTCAAAAGTCTATTAACTTACTGTACCAGCATGTCTTCAGACAATGGGAGTAAAATAGACCACCAGAAAAAACCCACATAAATAAGGGGAGAATATACAAACTCCACGTAGATAGCAACCCAGGAGTTGAACCCTCCACCTGTCACCATGCATAAACATATCCAAAATAATTCCATAAACTGGGGCATTTTATCCAGTATTCAAATCAGGAAAGTACAGGTATGTTACACAGCTGGGAAAAAGTCTGTTAGAATGTATATATTTATTTATACTGAGAATGTATTTGTACATTGAGATTATTTTTACACTGGTGTATTCTAATCCTTTAATTCTTAAATTCTTTAGGTTACCTGCCAAACAATGTAGACTGGGAGCAGATACCCTTATGTCATTCTAAATGGAGTGAGATAAATTTTCTTGGTTTCATTTTAAAGACTTTTAAAGAGACAGAGATGTAGAGAAACAAAGAACCAAGTCATCCATCTGTCACAAATAAATCTAGTATCCTGGGATGCCTCCTTCTACCAGACTGAAGAAAGAGACAAAAGACCTAGGAGTCCCAGACCTGGCAGTCCTAATCACTATGTTGCAAAATAACCCTGTGGCTAACACTTATATAGGCCCTTCCTGGCCAGTGCTGAGGTCAAAAGAGACAGGTGGGAGTGCCTCTGGTGATCACAGGGGAGTAAGCAGGCCCAACAAGTCTCCTTGTTCCTTGTCCTTCCTATCTTTCCCAGTGGTCCAGTGAAACAGTAAAATTACACTGTTCAAAAACCCATTTTTGCTCACTATGCAGTGATGGGGCTCAAGCCCTAGGTGTGAATTTTTTGGCACCAGCGCTCTGCTCTGAGCTCCAATTTTTCTATCGTAGCAGAGGTTTCCTGTGAAAGACTCTTTCCAGTGGTCTCCCTGTCCACTCCCTAAACAGACTTCAAATGGTCCAAAACTCTTTGACTTCTGACACGATTAAAGCCCAGTTCACCCCAGTTCTGACACATCTGAGTATTCCCATTACCCAGAGCATTCAGTTCAAAACTGTATTTTTTACATTTAAAGCCCTACACAACAAATCCCTGCAATATTTAGCATCTCTCATTACTCCCTAAGTACTGAGCAGATTTTTACGCTCTGCTAAGGCATATCTTTTAATTGCGCCTTCTTATAGGTACAAATGTCCTGGGGCTTGTGCTTTCAACTGCCTTCCTTCACAACTCTGAAACACACTCACTGTCTAGCTGAGAAATGTAAACACTTATACAGTTATTAAATCTAGATACAATACATTGTCTGTTTAGTCAGGTTTTTCATTGTTGTCTTTTTTCCCTTTTCCGCATTTTTTACCTTTATTTCCTTATTTCTGTTTAATGTTATTGATATTTTGACTTTATTTATTTGATATTTTTGTTTTTACCCTATTTAAGTGCCCCAAACACTGTTGGTGTGCATGGGCACTGAAATAAAACTTTGTAATTCTGTGTTATTGTAATCTAGTTAGAGAGCCCACTCTGTATACTGTATGTCTGTGTATTGAGAGGTAATGCATGATAAAATCCAAGGCTACCAATTGTATTCAGGGCTTACAAGAAAATAGGCAGAGACTGAAACCGTTATGAACTAGGAGATCACCAGCCCTCTTTTCTTTGCATTTCAGCTGTCCTTTCCATTCTGGGCAATGGTGCTGTCCTCGCCACTGCTGTAAAGAGGTCTTCAGTCCTGAAGGCGGCTGAGCTTCTCTCTGTCAACTTGGCTTTAACAGACATTGGAATGGCTCTCAGCATGTATCCTCTGTCCATAGCCTCTGCCTTCAATCACGCATGGGTTGGCGGTGATCCGTCCTGTATCTATTATGGCTTAATGGGCTTTTTTTTCAGTGTGGCAAGCATCATGACTCTGGCAACTATGGCTGTGGTGAGATACCTTATAACCAGGACACCTCGAACTTCAGGTATGTAAACTTGAAAACCAAATACAGAAAAAAAATAATTTGAAATTCCTTTTGGGTTTTGAAAAATAAGATAATGAGAGCTCATGTATTTGTTCATGTATAGCATGTATAAGCAAATAATAAGCCATGGTTCACTTCACTTTTCCAGTCTCCAAATCTAAGTATGTTTTCACTGTAATGCAAATTACCTGCACACCTTACCATCGTCGGTGGGACAGGTGCTTCTTTGAAGGAATGGAAATCCACGGGTGTGAAGCACTGAGGTGGGTAAATCACAGATGTGGCTGGCCAAGTGTGGCTTATTATCATCATGCAGCAATAGGATGCACTGATGTGGCAACCCAGGGCCATTTTTAAATAATGGACTCCTAAGGACATGTGTCACTAGTAATGAGTGTATGATCACATTGGGAAGCAGGCAGACACAGGTGAAAGTGTGGCATTACCACAGACAGGTGAGAAGAGTCAGAATGGAGTAGAACTTGGTGTTGCAGCACTCCTTTTATTTTTTAATCATATTTAGCATTTTTAGCTCTGTTTCCTTCATTGAAATATCCTAATATTACCACTTTGAAACCACCTTAGACACAGCAAAACAGAACCTAAATCTGAGCAAAATGTTGCAGGAAAAACAAAAGTTTCTTGAAAATGTGTCTGTTCGGGAGTCTTTTTATTAAAAGTTCAGGAAGAATGACATCAGGCTAGTTCTCCCTCACTTTTGCTCTCTACTACTTTTCTAAGGTTATAAATACCAGTCCCTTTCCTGCCTTTCATTCATCATTCTGTATCCCTCTTCCATCATATTTCCAATTTTGCAGCTACCCCTTGGTTAAGACCTCACCCTACTTCAGTTCCTAACTTCCTTTTCTTACAGCCAAGTGGTTGACACTCAGCCAAGTGGGTTAAACAAAGCTTTTTGTGCTAACTTAAAATAAGCATTCCTAAACGCATTCTTACAAACATTTGCTTATTGGGTGTTGTTTTTCCTAGTGATGCATATTTATTAACCATGAAAAGTCATAATTTATAACTCTGTTGCATAACCTCTAATTTTTTATATTGTACAAGTTCAGAGATTTTAAAGATTATGGAACATTTCTAAAGCACACTGTACATTGATGCAAGTGCACTACATGTTAGCATGATGGGAAAAGAGAAGAAAAGAAGCACAATGTTTCTGCTGTGGAGCCTTCTGTGGAGCCAGGTGTGTGGGGCCTTCTTCCACACACCTGAATAAGGCTCCACAGCTGAAATTTTGTGCTTCTTTTCTTCTCTTTTCAGCATGGAATAAACCTTTACTTGTTCCTTTGCAGCCAATGCATGGTGAGGCAGCTCCCTACTTGAACTATGTTGTCATGTTGCTGCTCTTATCTCTCAGTTCCTGCTTGTCTTTTCTACTTATTATTATGTTTCCTTTCAGATGCTGCAAGTGCTCTAGGTAATCCTTTGCTTTTGCTTATTTTTTGACTCCCCCCAAATATAACATTCTACCATTGCACCCACCCAGATTACTGTATGTGGTTCCTGAAAACAAAACTGGCAGGATTAATGTAGAACTTCTGCAGTTTTCAATAACTCCTTTTTTTATCAAACAAGCATCCTTTGGGACTTTTTTGCCATTGAATAGAGCCCTAAAGGATCTTCGCCACAAAATTAGTGTAGAATTTGGCAGAATGATTTTTTTTTAATTCCTGCAGATATAACATAAAATAAATCAGTTCCTGGGGAGATTATGGGAACAATACTAGAGGTCCTGTTCATTTTTTTAAATCAATTTTTAATCTTAATTTCTGGTGGGTGAGAGTTGGTGGGGTCCAGAAAAAAGATAGACTTGTTTCTTCCTTTCCTTCCCCAAGAAAAAACAAACTGAAAGAGTCTGACTCTATGAATAAGGCAAACTGTTCACTCTGCTATAGCAAACAGAGCTTTGATAATGGAGCAGCAGCAGTGATCACCCAGATTATGATAATGACTAAGAATTTAACTGTCCAGGTGGGAGCAATTCAGTAACCAGTCTCCATGTTGGACTATATCTCATCCAACTAATGGGCACAAAGGAAAATGCTGAAGACATGCACAGTAAAGCTGAAATACCTTGGAGCTCAAGGTAATAGAACTGAGGGATAGATCCAAGATGAAACATTCAGATTGTTGTTTTGCCACAGGAAAATAAACATTATGATCCAGTTGGACTCTTGAACGATTGCATGTGTGGGGGAACAATGCTGTTTTGCCATCAGGTTGTGACAGTACTAGTGTCACGTATGAAAAATCTTTGTAGGTCTCATTCAAGTAACAATGACAGAATAAAATAATAAATCTAGTCTCTGATTTCAAACCATAGGCGAAGTAGAAGTAAAAAATGTGAATTCCAATAGTATTTTGTACCAGATGTGCCAAGCTTGGGTTTGATATCACTAATGCACTGTTTCACCAGAAAATAAGGCACAAAAAACCTATATCCATGTTAGTGAAAAAAATATATCCTGCACATTTTGTGAGTTACCTTCCCATTTCACTGATATGCTTGGACAGCAAGATGTATGCTAATGTGCTTTCATACCAGATGGAGGTGTATATGTCTTATTTAGTTCACTACGGTCAGAAAGGTTATTAAATGTAATTTGACTTACTGTGTGCTTCTCTGTAATTACATACATTGTCTTCCCCAATTCTGTTATTCTGAGAATGAGTATGATGATCTAGAATGTGAATTTTTATAGTCAGTTCTGGATTATATGGGTTTGGTATCAGGTTTAGTTTACAGTACATTGTTAAAATGTTGCATGTTAATTGTTTAAAAATGTTCTATCAAATTTGCTACTGTATATCTAAGGGCAATACATGCTTACCTTTAATCTTTGTTGTTTTTTTTGTCTTTGGAACTACAAGTACAGCTTTTTTATCGATGTGCTGTTTATTGCTGCTAATAATACTTAACATTGTCTACCACTCTATGAAGGCCATATATTTTTATATAAATACAATGCCTCCCATGTCCTGTGACATATGCTAATTAATTATAGTACTCAGTACTGATACTATTTTTTTAGTGGGGAGTGTTAACCTATCTTTAACTATACCAGGTTCAAACACTCCATATACCTTGGTATTAACATTCACTCTTCTTTACATGTCATCACAGTAAACAGCTTCAATAGAATTCTTAAGCAGAAAACTTGAGCTGACTGTTGAACTAAATTTCTCAATTCTCTTCAAACTTCCTGTCTCCATAATAAAATAAGTGTGCTTTCTGGGATTTTTTAAAGTTTTTTAATTTTTCTTTCTCTTCCTTGGGGTCTTGATACTCTACATTATAGAATTTCAAATATAATTTAGAAAAGGCACAGCCTAGATTCTCCACTCAGTAGTGTCAAAGGTCTGAGAAAAACCTGTCAGTTTGATTTACACTCCTGTTTCTTGGCATCTATTTGAAGAAAGTTTAATCTTACGTAGACTTCAAGATCTGATCTGTACAGCGGTCACAGTTTACAACTCACAGAAAACATTGCATGTTCATCCGTCTGTTTTTTGTAATCATTTGCTTTTTACATGCAATCATTTCCCTTTTGTGCTTTCCACATTGTAGTGACGAGGATATTCACAGCCATGCAGATGTTTTTAATAATGATTTGTCTGTTCCAGGTCTTTTGCAATTGAAGCACAAAGTTAACTGGCACTTCTTTCTTTCTGTACTTCAATCTCCATTATGGTGCTTCCTGAGGGATGAGTTATCTACTGTATACACCCAGCACATAATCGGTTTGATCTCAAGGCCAAAACAAAGGCCTTAACTTCGACTTCTGTCTTTAATTGTTTTATGTAAAGCCTTTTAGAATGAGGACTTGATTGTTCCAGATCGGGACGTTTTCAAGAACAGTATTTGTAATAATTAGAAATTTAAAATTTTTATTTAAAAAACCCTAACCCCATTGACCGATCTAGTTAAATTTAATCAGATCATATCTGGCCCCTCATAGACGGTATCATATAAGGCTAATTCGTAATACTCTGTACTCTCTGTGCAGTGGGCACATTTTTATATGTGATTTTTCAGAGGTGGTAAAGGGTGTTTTCTTGTGTATTTCATATTCCTTGTCCTAGAATCATTGGATCTTGGCTATAGTATTAAATTAAGTTAGTTTCAGCTACTAGGATTCATGGTGCTGTGGGGTGCATGGGAGAGGCTAGGTTACTGACATTCAGCTATTTGACAGCATTTTGGGGGTCCTCTGGTGGCAGATACCTGGTACCAGAGTGGGATGAAGAACAAGGGAAATTAGTAGCTTTTCTGTTGACTGGAGGGCTTATGAGTTTCTTGTTTTTTTGTTGTGTATTATTTGAAGAAACCATAAAAAATAAAAATGTAACTATCAGTTAATATAATGTATCATACGATTAATGCATTACAAAATGTGATACCTGCATGGTTTACAATCGCAATTACTGATTGCTGAATGACTTAAAATATATCCCTTAGATATTGTTGTGCTATACAGATTATATGATTTCAGTTAAATGCCAGATGTTATGCGTATTTTATTTATACCATATACCTATTATATATTTTTCATAAATATAAGATACAAGTGTTTTTATGAATAAATTGGAAATGAATGTGTACGAGAATCAACTGTGTTTACAGAAACTGTATTAGTATTATGAATAAAATGTATATACAAAAACTAAAATATTCTCCCAAAATGTTGACCTACATTCTGTTACACGTGAAGAGATATTTCAAAGAAAAAGCTACTTGAGATAATTGTTATAATTATATAATTGAGTACTTTTTTTCTTCAGGTTTGTTGTGGTCTTTCTCTATTGTAGTGACAAACTAGTGATATTCAGAGTTTAACATTGTTCTATACTGGTTTATTAAATGATTGCACTAAAACTGATGTTCTTTAATTCAGAACTAAACTCCTATGTCTTTTAGGTAACAGGTTTGACAAGAAGAAGATTTACTTTGTGATTCTTTTCATCTGGCTTTATGCAGCACTCTGGGCTTTGCTTCCTGTGTTAGGATGGGGACACTATGGTCCTGAACCCTTCGGCTTGTCATGTTCTGTTGACTGGGCTGGGTATCACAACTCTGTCAATGGAGCCACTTTTCTTCTGAGCATGTTTGTGCTGTGTACTGTGTTCCCCTGTCTGGCCATTGTGTTGTGCTATTCAGGAATCGCCTGGAAACTTCACAAAGCCTATCAAGCAATTCAGAACAGTGAACATCTTCCCAAGTCAAGTAACCTGGAAAAGAAATTCACACTGGTAGGTTTAACATTTATATGTGTTTTTTTGTGAAAATGCTGAGGACAATCCATAATAAGCCTTTAGGTTGTTGCATGAGTTGTTTTCCTTCTTTTAAAAGTCTTTTGACTCTTTGCAAAAGTTCTTTTTTAATCTACAGGATCTGTAAACTGCACTTAAATAGACAGGCTTTATACTGCATTGTACTGAATCAGGGCCATGGGGATGGAGAGATGCTGATAACCTAAACAAAGAGAAAACATGTAGAAAGCAGGGGACATACAGCATAATAATTTGTGCTTAAATCAGAATATGCAGGCTATTTATGTTCAAGTGTGTTCTTGTTGCTATTGTCATTTGTATTCTCAATGCATTAACCCAAGAATTTAAAATTGTGTATAAGGTGTTAATCCAGTTAAAATATGGTGAGTGAGCCTGTGAATAAAACTAATACATGGAAAGAAAATGCAAAGAGTGGACAAGCAGCTATAGAAAGTACTGGCAGAAATAGACCATATATTACAGTTGTCCAAATAAAAAGAATAGTTTAGTCAAATGATGTGTACATTCAAGTATATATATGAGGAAATAAACATAATTACAGTCAAAATATTTAATGATCCATTTTATTTTATTTTCAGATAGGAATTTCACATTTTGGGGGATTTCAAAAGGTTTAAATGTATCCATTTCGTGAAGGTTTGAAATAAAGATGAAATAGTTTATTTGAATGATGGCTGTGTACGTAATATTAAAACAAAGCAGAACTGATGCTTACATGTAATGATTGCAGGTTACAAAGGTTTTACATCTCCTGACATTCTTTGTCTAAACTCAATTTAAAACATATATAATCAAATTAAATTGCATTCTGATTGGAGAAGTAGATTACTGTATATGTAAGGAAAACTTGAGTGGGATAGGAAAAAAAACATTATATAAATGTATTTGCTTTCCAGACTTTCCTGATTGGATGCGTGCATTATGCATGAACAACAGCATGAACAATAATCAATATAATTATACACTGTAGGAATTATCCAACCATTCAATTTTCAACTGTGTAGATTACACTGACATACAGAGAGTATACAGCTGAGATCATTTCCATGACTTTCCATGCTGTAACAATGATGTTTAACAAGAAAGTAATGTGAATAAAAACAATTCTATATATGATGGAGCTTCTGCATCAAGTGCAACAACTTTGCACCTAGTAATACACTCAAATCTAGTATATGCATTAAAGTGTTCTGAATTGGCACATTTCCAGGTTATTTAATCTGCAGAACTATTTAAATGCACTGGAAAAGCTCCCTGCTGTCATTCAATGCACATAAAACAGCATGTAAATCTATCCACAGGACACTGAAGCATTCCCCCCTGACATTATACACGTGTATTATTAAAATCACTAGATAATTAGATTGGTTGCAGTCTTGTTTCTTTTATGTTCAAGGTGCATGTAAAAGCTGAAAGCTAGAAAAAATTAGCTTTGTAGTCATTTTTATTGTGATTACTGCTACAAATATTATTATTTTGTCAGAAAACAATTTACTCCTGATCACTTTACACAGCAAACAAAGATTTACAATGTCCCAGGGTAAAAAATGGCCTGACAGATAATTCAGCTGTATTTCTTTCAGAAAAAGAAGATAATGTGACGTCTGTCAGTAAAACTATTAGCTTGATTTCAAAGCTTCCCTACTATACTGTACTATGTCTTTGTAAACGGCTTGTTGCACTTATTAGAACTACAAAACACAAGCACGGTCCAAAACACAGGAATCCATATTCATGACTAAAAGCCAAGTGTGTGCATGATGATGAGAATACAAACTCTGTGTGTACACATACAGTACAAGTAGTATACTGGGAGTCAGCCATTTGAGAATGAGGAATTTGAGGAGTAGCTAGCCATTTAAAATAAAGAATGCAAAGGAAGAGAAAAATGAAGGGAGGAATTATGAGGAATTCAACCAAACCCTGGTGATCATGCTGGTCACAAAGAAATTTTAGGATATCTTGCCTTCTCTTTACCTGTCAAGAGGTACCACGGACCTCAACAAGGCCTTTCCCTTTTAAGCTGTTATATGGTTTTCATGTGACAGCACCATGTGAGAGGAGATACTGTACTAAAGGAAACTTGATATGGCCATCATCCTGGAAAAAAAATGTGATCAATTGTATGTTTCAGTTAAGCTTTAGACTTGGCCAATTAAAATATGGAAAAGACCCACATCTTTCACAAGAGGAAATCCTTCTCCAAGAAAATACACCTATGAATCTGGAGAGTACATGCTGCAGCTGGTATACAAAAATGTACAGTGAAGTTTTTTTGTTGATAAGCCAGGCTATACTGACACAGCAGAGCACATTTTTATTGGAGGAATTGCAGGGCAAGCACAATGTGAAAGTTTAGCTATTTTGCAGTGAATTTTGCAGCCCAATCATTAGTATCAAAGAAAAATGGAGGTATTCAAGAATGTGAGTGCCCTGGAAGCCTTCAAAGCATGATGACAGGTGTTACTTAAGATTTTAGAGAAATTTAGATATTCAGGAAACATTTTATACACTTTCAGTTCACTACAATACCTTTTGTGTTATACAATGCACCCACAAATTTCCAGAGTCCAAAGAATCAAGAATTGAGAGCGACAGAAGAATTTGATTCAGGTATTTGGGTGGAACATCTGGACAGTGTGAGCAAAGTGGTGACATGGATCAAGAAAGCAGGGCTTAGTATTGGTCCCAAGAAAATTAGTTTCACACCTGCACTAATAAATCATCAGACATCTTGTTCAGTGAAACCTTTTGCATCTATATCTTTACCTATTGCCCTATACCACCTAACACACACGTCACTCACATGTTCACTCTGTAAAGAAAGCAAATACCATCCAATATTACAAGGTGAACACTACTAAAGTTAAGTATGTGTAAAATCTGAAATCTCTCCAGTGAACCAAATAAAAGAGTAAGCATGGATTATCTACAGTACCTATTGCCTATTACCAGTTGCATACATGAAATTATACAGTATATGTTTCTATAAAAGCTTTCCCACAAACAAAGTGTGGACAACTTACACTAAATTATTCACGTGCCTATTGTGGTAATTAGTGGGAGTGGCTTATTAATGTATCATTCATTGTTAATATAAACTCCTTATCATTGGGGATTTTTAACTGAATCGAATTTAACTGTATTTTATTATAAAAGAGCTATAATAAAAGCAATAAAAGTCACAGACTGAATTTGGTATAAGTTTTCCAGTGATGAAATATTCTAATAAAGAAATATAAGGACATCTTAAGTTAATCTTAATTAAACAGCACAGAGTTTGAATTCAAGGTATCCACTTCTTGGGTAATCCAAATAAAAACACTTTCCAGACAAAGAAATGCTAGAGATCATTAAATATATGGAGATATATGGAGAATACACTTCACATCATGGAGCACAATGCTTCATGGAACATATTTTCACTTAGAGGAAGGTTAAATTGAACTTGCGTGGTTCATTGTTTTGTTCTTTGTTTTTCAGATGGCTGTTCTCATCAGCACTGGATTCATTGTTTGCTGGACACCCTATGTCGTGGTCAGTTTCTTGACAACGTTTCAGTCTAAAGACAGTTTGACGCCTGTGGCGAGCCTGCTGCCTTGCCTGTTTGCCAAGTCCTCTACTGCATACAACCCTTTGATTTACTACGTCTTCAGCAGGTCCTTTAGAAGGGAACTTAAAAAGATGAAATGTTGTGGCTTCCGAGTCCATCTCTCCACGGCTGACATTTCTGCCTTGAGCCACTTCACAGTAGGCGGAAACTTGAGAGATGATGCCAAATCTGCATCTGCAATAAAACGGCACCAATAAAAGAATCCCAGCTCAGCTCAACGGTGAGATGACAGGTTCTTTCTAACTGCAAGAGAATAAAGAGATTGTTAATATACATTTCATAATGTACACTGTTAATGGACATATTCAGTATTTATTATCATCTTTATTTTCAATGGTCAAAATACATATATACTGTATATATGTAAAATGAATATATAAATATGTTAAACTATCATATACCTAATACTTTAATTGGAATAAGGAAGAAATGCAGTGCAAAAATAGGACACATTCAGCATACAGACAAGCTTACGTGATATGTTATGCAAGATGAAATGTGTTGATTTCCAGAAAGAACTAATTGCGTGTTCTCTGCTTGACTCAAGAAACCTGGCTGCATGCTCATGATACTTGTGTGTCTGTATATGGAATGCATTCCATAATGTTTCCTTCAGTGTTCAATACACTGAAATACAGTACCTTAGTTACCCTCAATTCTGGGGTGTAGGAAATAAGTAATAGAAGGATAGTAAAGGAAACATTATTTCCTATATTATTTTTTCTTTATTATTGTCCATCATCAAAATGTTTTTAAATACTGAAACAAATATACAATTACTATTCTCTTATGTCATCAATGTTTCCTCTTCAATGTCAGTAATTGTACTTGCATGATAAAAATGGATTGATGTCATTAACTTCCAGCTGCATGGAGAACATTTTCCATAAAAAAGTAAATAGTTTGAACAGTTCTAGGGAAAGCAGCATGTCCAAGTGAGGGTGGCTGTAAAACTGTGGGCTCTCATTTAGGTTGCTTTATACTATATACATGCGGAACAGGATAGGCAGTTGTGACAACAGCAGTGTAATACAGGCCCATGAAGGTATTTCTCTTTAATTCTAAGCTTTTGATTTTAAACATTTTGTTTTGTAAAGCAATAATGTCTCACCTAGCAGTTTATATTTTTGCGATATTGCAGTATTCTAATTTACAGTGTCAACTGGTTGTGAAAAGGGGTGAGATAAAAGCACATGCCAAAAAGTTATTGAAATAAAACAGATTATGTATATACTGCAATGTTGTAAGGGACATTGAAGGGCATTATTTTTCCCAAAGACTCTTGGAATTTTTTAAGCTTCCCCTTACCTAAGATGGCGGACTGGATGAGCAGCTCACAATAGACTGGACATCATCTGTTACTGGAGCAGCCTTCAGCTGTGCACCGTGCTCCAGGCCAGATGAATAGAGCATCAAATCTGGAAAGGAGGGAGGCAAATGGGAGAAGAAGTTGGAGCAGGAGCAGCACAAGACCTCTACCTGCGCAGACCGATACACTACTGAACTGGCCTCTGGGCTGAAGATTCAAGCTATACCAGCTACAATTGCAGTCTCTGGGCTAAGATCAGCTCTGATCAGCCCTGTAGGCTGCTAGCTAAGTCTTTGACTACTCTGTTACTGTGCTTGATATATATTGGTATTGTACATAGTTCCAGTCAATAAAGAACAGACAGACTTTAAGACTTGTGTGCAGGGTGCCTCTTTGTTCTGGGCCCCATCTAGAACCTATGCTCCTACTGTGAGCTGCCCCACATGGCATCACAATTCATTCATATTTTCTTACTCACACTCTTGTATGAGCATTAATGAGTGTATGCCCATATAATGTATGTGAATGCTGTACATAGCAAGATACTACATTTTTCTTTCATTACAATAAATTCAGTCAAGTAAGTTGTAATGAGTTTTATGTGTCAATGTTAAGTATTTCCACTAGAGAAAAAAGACATGTAATGCACAGAATAATAATAATAAACTTTATTTTATATAGCGCCTTTAAAGGTGGCTTCTCAAAGCGCTTTACAGGATGACAATAACAATAAATAAGAAGACTACAACAATAAATAAGAAGAATTCACAAGATAAGACACAATTACAGTTACAACAATACAACAATAACAATAGAGGAGAAGGTGGTACTAAGAAGAACAGAGGGGTGAAGAATGGAACCAGTTAAGTAAAGGCTTTTCTGAAGAAGAAGGTTTTGAGTCTGGATTTGAAGGAGTTTAGAGAAGGTGACTCTCTGATATCCCTGGGCAAAGAGTTCCAGAACTTGGGGGCATAGCAGGAGAAGGCCCTGTCGCCCATACAATGTAGACGGGCTTAGGGGACAGTAAGGAGGGCAGAATTTGAAGAGCGAGGTTGCGAGGTGGGCAGTAGGGCGATAATAGTTCAGACAGGTATTGAGGTGCCAAGCCATGTAGAGCCTTATAGGTGAGGACGAGGATTTTAAAGTCTACGCAGAATTGGACCGGAAGCCAGTGCAAGGACTCCAGGATAGGAGTAATGTGAACACTTGCACTAGACCTGGTCAGGATTCTGGCTGCTGAATTTTGGACACACTGCAGTTTGTTCAGAGTAGATTTAGATACCCCAGCAAGTAGAGCATTGCAGTAGTCAATTAGAGAGAATACAAATATGTTGATCAGCTTTTCAGCCACAGTTAATGACAGCATAGGGCGTAGTCTTGCGATATTTCTAAGGTGAAAAAAAGATGTTTTGACAGTATGCTGTACATGTGGGTCGAATGTTAAGCCAGAATCTAATATAACCCCATGGTTTTTCAATTTTGATTGAAGCTCAAGTACAGAGCCATCTACAGATAGGGTTACAGGACTGGCTTTACGAAGTTAATGGGGGATACCGATAAGCATGACTTCAGTCTTGTCACAGTTAAGATGAAGGAAGTTTTGAGTCATCCAAATTTTTATGTCAGAGATGCAATTAGATAGAATAGAGACAGCCACATCAGTGTCACGTTTGGTATGGATGCATATTTGAGTATCGTCAGCGTAAAAATAAAAGCTGAGGCCATGTGATCTTTAAAGCTGACCAAGTGGGAACATGTAAATGCTGAAGAGCAAGGGGCCCAGTATTGAGCCCTGGGGGACACCAGACTTGACAAGACCAATTTCAGACCTGTACCCATTGAGAGAGATAAAGTGACAGCGATCAATAGTTAAGATTTAAACCATTTGAGGGCAGTGTCAAAGACTCCAAACACAGTCTCGAGACGAGAAAGTAAGATGTTATTGTCAACAGTGTAAGTCTCAAATTATACAAGTGGAATTTAGAAAAACAAGAATGTGAAATTTGTCATCTTTTAATCTATACTGGAATGGGGCTCAAAGGTTCAGGGAGTAGAAGAAAATTATAGCAAGACATATCTGGCAAAAACTATATCAGGAGATAGAAAAGGAGATCATATCTTAAGAATTATGATGAATTAATGTCATCATTAACCATCTCTGGCTAAAATAACTCATGTAAATATCAGAAAAGACCTAGGAATGTTTCAATTTTGCTGCTAGTATGCAGTCATGGCACTTTGAAGTCCACACATTCAAAGCTGAAAAAAAGCAAATAGAGAAGAAAAGGAAAAAACAGGAGAAGAAGAAACAAAGAAGGAAGACTTCCTGTTTCTCCAAAGCTATATTGTGGGAGACCTCCATTTTCCAATAAGACCTGATACTGATTAATGTAGTTTATAATAATCTGAGTGCTATATAGTGTACCTGACTCTGACTATTATTACAAGAGAATTCTTATTTCCTTCTGTCACAAAGTAAAAAAATGTGTGTGAGAGAATCTGGTGTCAAGGACTGTGTTGATCTTAAATGGGCATTGAACAGCTGGTGTCACTGTAAGGGTGGTGCATTTGTATTTCCTTGTTCTTACAGTTCCCATTGATTGAAGGTTCTTGCTCAGACACTTGTTAATTATCACAAGGTCAGAAATGATACGTGGTATTACGCGGCAGGTATGACTGGGCCTCAGATTGAGAAAGGGGGCTCTGGAACATAATGCATCATTATGCCTGGCTATTTGGCTATACCCAGTTTCTCAATGAGTGCTGAGCACTTAGCTCTGCCCACCCCCGGGACGTCAAAGGAACACTCTTGTCAAGGGGGCTTCAAAAAGCCCCAATCAGGCGAACTCAGGGAATTCTTTGAGAGGGAAGAAAACGGATAGAGAGTCACAGATTACAGAGTTGGACCCAAGACTGGACACCACTGTGTAACCAATAGCAATTTTGAAAGAGTTACCGAGTGTATTCCACATGGTGTTTGCAACAAAACACTAAGTGATACTGCTAACCTGTGGTAAAAACGTTGTGTAGCCAATCAAAGAAAAGAGGGACTTTTTGGTCTAAATGCAAATCATTACATCATTACATTACCTGTAAACCCAACATAGCACATTGGCTCCATGAAATTGAACTAACTAACAAAGTTAGTCATATCTGTGTCTTCAGTGGTCAAGGTGTGCCCTCACGTTGTATTCTACACCAAGGACTGACCTGGAACACAAATATAAAACGACTGTGAGCTGATCGTTTCATGTTTGCACATAAGACCCCTGTAAATACAAACATGGATAATGCCAGTTTTTCAAAGAACCTAGATATATGTTCAATTCTGTTCTGTGAAAATAAAAAAAAAATCCAATATTGCTGCGGTGTGCATTTGTGAGATGGTAGACTCTTGTTTCTCGGATGTGTTATGAACTGTGTAAACTTTGTACATAGTGCCCCTTTAAAAAAAACGTCCTGAAGTCCTGGTTCCTTTTCACATTGGCGAATATGCTTTGCATAAAAAACAGCAACAATGGTTCAGAAAGTTGCAAATTCAAGTATTTATAAATATGTGGCTCGACAGACAAGTCGAATCTTCACATGTCCCTTGATGCCTATGTTTATTTAAGAAGGGGACAATGCAAAACTTTTTACTTCTTCGGATTTTTAAAAAGGGACACCGCTACAAGGGATTAAGAGGTGTTAGTTAAAGCCTCTTTGTAAGAACATATTGTAGCGCCCTCAGCCGGTGGTGAAGAGGAAGCGCACCTAGGCATTAATGGTACCGCGAAGCAGGCTGGGAGTTGTAGTTGGAGTTGGGGGGGGAGTTTGAGGGTCAGCACGATGACCAGCTGACCTTGTGTATGTAAATAGTGTTATATTAGTTTTAGTGCCTTTTGTAGCTTTGTAAGTGTATAGTCTTTTGTTAACGAGTAATCACCCTAACCGTGTGTACGTGTTCCGTTGGTCTCCTTATGTGTGTGTAGATTTTTTTATTTTTTTGTGGTTTCAATAGTAGAATAAAAGTTACTTTCAATGGCACAAAAGTAGCACTAACGAATGAGACTGGTCCGGTTCCCCTACGATGTTGTAGGGGGCTGAGTGACATCACACCCAAAAAAGGAAGGCACTATATCTCAGGAAAGAAAGAAGCTGGGAAGTTACTTTCAATGGCACAAACCTGGATAAAGGTAACGAATGAGACTGGTCCGGTTCCCCTACGACTTTGTAGGGGGGCTGAGTGACGTCACGACCCCAAAAACACAAGGCGCTATATCTCGGAAACGAAAGCAGCACAAAAGCTACTTTCAATGGCACAAACGTAGCACTAACGAATGAGGTGGGTTTAATCGTTTGTGCTGTCTGTAGGGGGGCCAACTTCACGGAGCTTAGTTGGCTTTGTGTTTTTCTTTCACCACGCTTGGCATTAAACATGTTAAAACACCTCATCACCTCTGCCAAATAAGCTCTTTCACTCATGACGTAATTTAGTGCTTCTGTAACAAAGTTACTTGAGTCTGTTGTGGTTAGTGATATATTATGGATATTGATTAAATGTTGATCATTTTTGACCTGTCATGATATACTCGTGTGATTTTAAGCACTGTGTAAGTCCTAAATCCTCTCACCTGTGAGACAGCTGATTGGGCATAGGTGTTTAGATGATTTAACCTGTTGAGTGTCAACCATTGTGAAAATAAAGAAACAAAACACAAGAAGGAATCAGTATACACCGCTCATCAAGACAACATTTAATGTGCCAACAGTATGCTAGAGCACCAAATGAGGTGGACTTGCTATCATTGAGCCTAAATACTGTATCTTGATTGATGAGTCAAGGTTTTGTATAGACCATATTGATGAAGTGTGGCGCAGATGTGTATAGAACTCTACTTGCAGCACTTGATGGCAGCCTGACTGCATGGCTCTACATTGATCAAGACCAGGAACCTCGCTCCTGCCTGTTCTCTGGGTTCACCCTGATGTGACAACATTAAAGCAGGACAAAGCATGTCCTCATGAAGCTCATGTAGCAGCTTTCAGGTGAGGTAAGAATGTGACGGCCATGCATTGGATGCGCTAATTGCCAGATTCGACCCTGTTACAAATTTGATGGCATCTAGTGCTCAGAGACCATCCTTGTCCATGCTGTATGTCAGGATTGGGACAGCAGCTAACAAAACAGGACCTACAACATGGTGTAAAGCAAGTGCAATAGAAGTTTGTATGGCTTCCACACACTCCTAGCCTGTGATTTTCTAATCAGACCTCTTGTTGATTACAAAAGTTAGTAATATATTATATTATTATATATAATAAACAGTATAGGAAATCTCTCATGTTTATTAAATAAAAGGTTGGTGTACCTGCTATA